TTTTTTTGGGGGGGGGGGTAGAAAGCACATGTTGTTGCTGTTACCACTCCATAGATAGCACATCAACAAGATGTTTTTTTTGGCAAGTATGCAGAAAACAACTGACACATAATCTGTTCCTAAGTTGGTCCTAAAAAAAAGAATTAATACACCACAAATTTTTGATTCATGCTGTATCTAAAAAATCTACTCAGTTTAAAGAAGTATGCACAGGTACATGCAGTTCTTACAGCAAAACTGTTCAAACCATTTGAGAAGTTTCTGAAGGCAAACTTTTTTTCTAGGATATTCAACTTTGAAGACCAAAATGGCAACACTGATCAGCCATGCAGTCAGATGCAGTCAGATACGGTCTGAAACTGGTCTGAGAACTCAAAACTTGACATCTGAATTCGGCATGCAACAATATATCTACATCTTATTGGAAGAGGCACTCAGCATTATTCTTAATTCATAATTTTTTCAATTTCGTGATAAGTGGACAAAATAGTTTGCAATTTGAACCAGAGTTCATAATTCCAGCACGGCTAAAGATTTTTTTTTTAAAAGTCATACATGTATATGTATGTGTATTCACAACGGTCAAAAAAATACACTTTATGCTTAAACCAAAGCATGCTTAAACCAAAGCATGCTTGACCAAAGCATGTGTAGACTATACATGTACTTGTACACCAGGTTGTCACAGAAAAGGATGTTTCAAAACAAAAGATGTTCTACATCAATTTGCAACTGGCTGAAATAGTAATAAAAAAATCTAGAGCAAATTTAATTTTAATCTTTAAATACATTTCATGTCAGTCTGGGCATCCACTTACAAAGATGTTGCAAAGCATTTCCATGTGATCTGATCTGATTTACACAACTGATCTTATACTCTGATTTGATCGGATTTGATCTGATTCAGACAATACACATATCATTGTTAAGAAGTAAAATGCACTGTGAATAGATCCATTGCATTCAGCAGCCATCTGTGAGGTGCGTTTTGTTATGTTAATTCATTAACAATCAATGCATGAGAGGTCTACCCATGCGCACCCCTGTTGAACAAAAGCACACGCCTCAAACATGGCCGCCGTGCAAACTGGGCCCAATTTCATAGCACTGCTTAACAGTAAGCAGAAAAGTTGTCCTTACCAAAGCAGAAAATCATGCTGCTGCTTAAGCACTACTTCATGCTAACGGTTGCGTGCGCATGGATATTTCTATTGTTACGTCACTGATTTAAGCAAAGTTTTCTTCAGGGGTTCAGCGTGCTTTTGCTGTGCTTACTGCTTAACAGTCCCTATGAAATAGATGGAGGCTTGGTAAGCACAAAGACGGCTGTTAAGCAGCGCTATGAAATTGGGCCCTGTCTTTGAGATTTTCTTGAGTTGATATTTGATGACCCCCCCCATCCTGTTTCTCAAAGTAATGACAAACTTGATTTACAAAATGCTTAAAAGGTAAGTAATAGACAATAATCGCAAAGATCAAAAACAAAACTACCAAATAATTATGAAATTACTGTTATTGAAAATTATTCTCAAGCATCCTGTGAAATCATTTAGAATTTTTGTATCAATTTCCAACGATGGCCGGTGGACCATCGTTGGAAAAAATAACTGGCTTTTTAGTCCACATTTCGTTTGCAATCGGTTACACGTCTGTGAACGGCTGCAAGCCAGCTAGTCTGGTTCCCTGACCTGACAATTCCCTGACGTCTATAAATCGAGGTCAGGGAGCCAGACCACAAGAACATTTTTTTTTCTTGGTTTTTTCCAGCACCTATGAACATAAAACTTTAAACAGGTCAGTGTAACAATATTAACTATGAAATACTAACCCCCAAATCCATCCATTTCTGAATATTACAGCAAAAGCAAATGTTGTATATTCCTTTAATTTGACCAAAGTCTTAATTTATTCTCTGTTTTCAATACAGAGAAAGTTTTAGGGGGCTATAGGTTAATTTGCATTTTATGTGTTCTTTTTAAAAATCAATTCTAGGATGAACAGCACTCAAAATCTAATAAAGGAAGTTGAGAAAAATACTTGTTAGCTGAAAAGTATTGTTAACGATGTGTTGGTTGTCAACAAAAACGTGAAATCCACACAGTACAAGTATATGCTTTACTTTGTGTTTCTGTTGATGAGAAGCTCACTTTGCCCCAGACTAGGCACCTGAATAAAACATGCGCTCAAGGGTACAACTGGCAAACAGGTCAAAAATCCATCCACCGAGCTCACGAATAAAAGTTATACACTCAAATTATTCTATGTTAGAGAGTTCTGAGAGGAACGGAATTAGGCAATTATAAAAGAGATAAAGCAATGCACCTCTGGCCCGGACTTGGGGCTTCCAATTCCGAGCATTTGGGATACAATCAGGCCCGAAAGTGGTGCTATTTAGCCATGTTGTGGAGGGATAATTTTTCAAGATGGCTACTTTTAAACTTACATGTAGGAAAACCTCACTCGTTTAAGGGGTCGTCTTCTTTTGGCGAGAAGTTTTCGAAAAGTCATCGGTCAACGCACCAAAAATTGAAAAGGAAATGAAAGATGACATGTTAATCATCGTTTTTCTTGTGCGGCATAAACACCTGTCAGAGTTCTGAGTATTTTTTTATCAAAATTTCGAAGTATGGGCATTTAGCACTGGTGTCTATGGGAATTTGTATGCAGGGGTGCACCCCCCCCAAGTCAAACTTGAATACAGACACGGGGCGCCAGACTTTAAGGAGGGCTCTGAACTCACAAACATGGTTCCTGTTCCTCTCGGGAAGCCCTACTTTTCTACATGACCCATTCCCGCCGGCAGCAATCTGAAAGTCCAAACTCTTTCCCACAGAAAGGGGCTGTTCTTGATTATAATGTCTGCACGCACACGGACACCTGTGGTTCCTACACCGTTTCCCAATGGAAACACTGAGTTTTCCCATCAGAACAAGTAGTGTTCCCAGTAGAATGTTCCAAGTGTTTTGAGTTTTGATGCACACTCTTAAAATCTGGGACTGGGTTAGGTGTTTTGAAAAGTGTGCCGGTAGACAGACCTTTGGAATTACCTACGATAACTTTTCCCCCCTATTTGATAACATGCCACACAGAATATTTCCCCGACAGTTATCTGGTACCAATCTTGTCAAGTAAAGTTTCGTTAATAATTTGGTCAGTAAAATTCTAGGTCATTGAAAATGATCCCATAGGTCTTTAAGAGAGTGCTTGGATGTCTGAATGTTGACCCTAAAAAAATTGAACAAACTTTCAATTTAAAAAAAAAATGAATCAAGTATACCAACAATCCAGTTCCAGCTGAAATGTATGAAACAAATGTGAGACCAATGATAAAAAAAGTTGCAGTTTGAAATGCATTGGTAATTAACCAGAAACGCACCTATTGATTTAATGAAAACAAAACTTGCTCTAAGTGAAGTTAAAGATGATCCCAAATACCCTGTGAAATTATTCCACCAAAAACAGTTTTGATCAAAAGAAAACAATCACTGAAAGAGGTTTAAAAAAAAAGGTAAACACTTCCACTTTTTTTTTATGCGTATTAAGCAACAGACGTCAGTTACGATACCCCCAAAGTTGGCACATATAATGTCTTCTCTGTTTTTTTCCCAGAATGTATCTAAAGCAGCCGTTGAGATAATACTTCAACATGTTGATATGCGACCTACTTAAGATTTTGAGCCAGTTTGTTGCTTAAACCGAAAAAAAAACCCACAAAGAGGAAATGATTTTGTTTGCATTTACAAAAATGTATGTCCAGTGCCTGATTTTTCCCTGGTGTGAGAAGAATGAAGTCTGCAATGGGAAATGAACCGTAGAACCAATGAATGCAAATCCAGTACTTTAACCACCCTCCCGGGACTCTAGTGTGCACTGAGGCTCAAGATTGTACAAGGATTACAGGACCTGAACCTCGGACCCTGTGAATGCATGTCCAATGCTCCAGGCCATTTTGCCACATCATGTCTCCAAGTATAATTTAACTTCCCTTTACATTTCAATGGAAAAACTAAAAACATAGTGAGTTGCAATCACGGGACCTGAACCCTGGCCGTTCTGAATGCAAGTCAAGTAAGTTTTGGATATTAAACACAAATCCATCGCGGGATTTGAACCCTATTCCTTTGGATTTCAAGTCAAGAATAGAGAGGATTACTTAGAAGTAAACAAAAATTGCTGAATATTCAACCACACTCCAATATGTATGTATGTAACTCCCTTTACTATAGCATGAATCCAAAACCACATCGTTTCATAAACACTTCCCCATTTGTCACGTGACTGTGCTGGTCACATGACCATGCTATCACATGACCATGCTTATCACATGACTCAACACACACTGCCTACTTGCTCGACCATACTTTCGTTTGATACCTTTCCAGTAAAAGAAATGCTTAGCTATTAACATAAATGCATGCACCAGACAGACATGACTTTTCCAAAGTATTTGAAAAAAAAAACCGGGACTTTCAAGCACAAAAAAAGTATGCAAATTGCAAGACCACTTACAGAATATAAATGTAAAACTGGTTTAACATTCAGCAGAGCCAGATTTAAAAAAAAATAAAAAAACACCATTACGAAACTATTTTCGGGGGCATTTTGTAACTGAGGGTTCCCACAATCACTGAAACTTGGTCACCAGACATCCATATTTTTTTCAAGTCAAAATGAACTTATAATATGCATGTCTTTTTGATCATCCAGAATAGCAGCATAGAAAGTTGTCCATCGTGTCTACACAAACAAGCAAACAACGCTTTTATTCATAATGGCCTCCACCTCCCCTCGCAGCCATCCGATCCGCCCACAAAGAGTGCGTTTATTGGAATCATCGCATTACGGATTACAATTTCAATACTACATTGTACGTTATTCCATGCATGCTAACAACTAGACGGCTGTGCAGCCAACATTATAAACATTTTAAGTATTTTATCCTGTATGGAAATTCCTTAATTTTCAATGACTTTCTATGATTTTTCCGTGACAGGATTGTTTTCCCTAGGCATTTCCGTGACTGTGGGAACCCTGGCAAACTTTTCCTGCATTTTCCTATCTCATAATGATAATACAAAACAATGAATTCAGATTTCAGTGGCCCCACCAATCTTAAATCAACTCATACCATTTGATCAGCTTGTAAAAAATATTTCAGCTACATTATTGGTTTCAGGTTTGTTTTTTTTAAATTGGTGTTGGCTTCTTGGTTTTTCAAGATATTTAAGATTGAAATGGCCACTTAATTTGAGAGTTGTTGTACATGTGTAACACTATTGGCTCCATCATGAAGATTGTCCTTTTGTCATCAGTCATCAGTTGAAAGGTAGAGGTCTTTTGGAGTTTTTCACATAACAGTTGGTATCGCCTGAAGTGTTTTTTTTTTACCCAGTACCCTTGCTGTGTGTGGATGGCCTTTGCGGTGTCAAATGCGGCCATGTGGTTCGTGTACAGGGTGGCTGGTTTTACAACTTGCATGTGCACATCTGATAGTTGGCTGAAAAGCTGGCTTGTACTGGGGACTAAAAGTTGGCCTGGTGTCTGCCTCTGAGTGCTGGCTCTGGAAGTAACAGTGTTGGCTTCCAAACTGGCCAACAAAGTGGCTTGCAGAATGGCTGGCTGGCTTGTATGCTGGCTTGCTGGCTGGCTGGCTGGCTGGCTGGCTGGCTGGCTGGCTGGTAGTCTTCGCCACTGGCTTGACTCTTGGCTTGCAAGCTGGCTTGTCGTTGGCCTGTGGGCTGTGTAGCAGTCAGGCGACAATTTCACAGGCATGTCGGCTTGTAGTGTGGCTTGTAAGCTGGCTTCTGTTAATGGCCCACAAACTGGCTACCAATACGCTACAACAGTGGCCTGTGAACAATGTTTAATCTACAACCACACACATTATAGGCTACATACCGGCCACGTTAAACTGTTACCAAAGTACAAAGATAACAAATTCACGCCCCAACTCTACTGTTGCACTTTAAAGCTACTTTTCTCTGACCAACGGCCTGATGACATGGCATCCCTGCAATCTTGCGGTCTTGCTTGCTTGTTCTTGCTTTGCCTTGCTCTGCTCCAGCCAGATCTTGCCTTGCTCCAACTGCCGTCCAACACTACACTTGTAGTCCAAAAGCGGAAACCACACTCGAAGAAGTGTAGGGCACAAAGGGCCAACTAAACTTGCACTAGAGTTCCAATGTTCAAACAGCACTAGTGGGTACTGGGTATGCACATAGCGGGTACTAGGTATGCACCTAGTTGGGTACTGGGTACACACTTAGTGGGTACTGTGTATGCAACTAGTTGGGTACTGGGTACACACCTAGTGGGTACTGGGTATGCATGTAGTGGGTACTGGGTATACACCTAGTGGGTACTGGGTACACACTTAGTGGGTACTGGGTATGCACGTAGTGGGTACTGGGTACACACTTAGTGGGTACTGGGTATGCACCTAGCGGGTACTGGGTATACACCTAGTTGGGTACTGGGTACACACTTAGTGGGTACTGGGTATGCATGTAGTGGGTACTGGGTATGCACCTAGTTGGGTACTGGGTACACACTTAGTGGGTACTGGGTATGTCCAGCAGGTTTTAGGCTTTACAGCCAACAGTCTACATCGGTACCAGTCTGATATGCTCCAGACAGCCTGATCTCAACCAGGTGATGTGGGTACTAGACCCTTCGCATACGTGCCACCTCACACATGCTTCCATGCCTTACGATATTTTCAGTCACAACGTGTTCAAAGACGTAGCCAGAGAATTCAGCTTCCGTGATACAATGACGTTGTCCACTTTCCTTATTTGCAGAGTAGCATCCAGCGCAATCCTGTCGTTCCAAGTGCTCACATACATGTATATTACAAAAACTTCCAGATACAATAACTAATGCAACATAGTTTTCTACAAAGTTTAGCACACATACCCGTTTCTGTACGTGCTCAAGATTTCAAAATACAATCTCGGCAGCACACAGAAACTTGATAATCATAGTGCCATAATTAATAACCAAATCAGTAATTGCTTTTTACATTCAATCACAGAATAGCAACGTCTTATCAGGCCAAAACCAGGCAAGGCTAAAACTTTACTGCATGGTTAATTCTCATAAAAACGGAGCAATAGGTATGCATGATGTAAAAACAAAGAAACAATGACAGCATATTCAGGTCGGGGAAATGAAGGAAAATGTACATATACCATTTGAGTAATCGACGCCTGGGTGCTCTAGATGAACATGCTTTGTGCAGTTTTTACTCCTACTACCTGTAGAGGGTCGATCTACGTTGTTTGTTCTTGTAGATGGAGCACCCCAGAACAATGCTCTGCCTGCTACACGTTGTTCTAGATGATAATGCACCCTGGTGGAAAGTGTCTATCCGGCAAGGGAGGACTTCAAGAAGTTTAGTCAGGGACCAGGGTAACGCTGATGTGAGCCAGGTCCACCATGTGCCTGTCAGAAAGAAAAATGAATTCTTTTGAAGCAAATCATGCTAGGAAAATATTACAAAACATTCATAAATACCGGAGACACTTTACCAATTCCTATTGGTTGAGAGCCTGTTCCGTTTTCAATAGCGGTAAAGCACGGCTGCGTTCTGCGCCACATCGTGCAGTACGTGCCGTATGCGCCAATTTCCATACAAGGAGATTTTTAGCAATACGCCCGCGAAGCACATACCATAGACATGGCCAGAGGGGGGTTGTACAAAACATGAAGTAAAAATCGTTAACAAAATCATCGGAAATGTGTGAATTTTTGACTTGTTTTGAATTTTTGACTGAAAGGTATTTCTGAATGGGAACATCTATGTGTTTTGCCACTTAAGAAATTGCTTTGCACCGACATTCGCATGAACTTTGAACCTGCATTTTGCGCTGCTGGACACTGAATTACAAACCACTTCATACCTGTGGAACTTTGTCTGGAAGGTCTGGGCGTCGTCTGGACGGCAAAACTTGGCCACTGCTCTCCTCTGGTTGGGCAGGATTTCAACATTCTGCAGGCATTGGTAAATTCAAGTTATTTCATGACCCCTACATGACCTGTGACCTCAGTAATCTGATGGAGAATTGTGTTTTCCCACCCAAGGGTCACTGTATCCAAGTTTCATCAAAATCCATGTCATGAAAGCATGTATAAGTTATAATTTTTTTTTAAAAACTTAACCTAAACTTTAACTTACATACGGGGAAACGGTCAAAGGTGGATGCATGGATACAGTCATACAGGGATACAGAATTTAGGACTAGCAAGTTTCCCCCAAAACTTTGTTTAGGCGACACAAAAATACCCTGCACAAGTTGCTTCGTTACCTTAATAGGTCCACACGACTGCAGCATCTTCACCAAGCTGTTCTTGTTTGTCGACGCCGAGAGCCCGTCTATCAGAATCCCCGTCGGCCCCTGGGGGCCTTCCAGGGAAGCCTGCTTGACCACCCTCTGCGGCGGGGGAGGCTGCCCCCTGGCCAGCTGGCCTGCAGCCTGTGCTGCCCTCTGCTGCTGTTGCTGCAGCAACTGCTGCTGCTGCGGAGTCAACTGCTGGACCACCGTCCTTTTTTTAGCAGCGGGTTGTTCAGTTCGGAGACCAGGATTCTGGTTTGGGGCGGCTTGAAGGGTGCGTTTCTGCGGAGACTTTTGGGTTAGTCCCCCGGGCTGGTTCTGCTGGATGACTCGCCTCTGAGGACCCGGAGATACCTGCTGGGTTTGAGCGTTTCCTTGTTGGGGGATCCCAATGCGATCTTTGACTGACCTGATCCATCGCAAGAAAATCAACAGAAGATAGGAGTCTGGGTTTATAGTCATCGTTTCAATGTACACATCTCGCCTTTTTCAGATAACAGGCAATGTGATAGAAAAGGTACAATTACAATGAAATGAAGCATTGCTCTCAATAAACAGAAAAGAAAAGCGTCTTGTTATGCAGTGAATCTGGTGCGTTACAAGCTCTCATTCTAAAGCCGCCCTCAGGTTGACCTTGCGACAATACGGAACAGTCGGCGGCTTACTTTTCAGGATCAAGCTGCGCCTGAGCTACGACCGTCGGGAACAAATTAGTCGCTGATATTTTGCGACCTGAGTGTAGCTGCGATATTAAGATGATTGGCATCAGTCGGAGCTAAAAGAAAAATCAACAGTCGCAAGAGCAGAAACATTTCAACATGCTTAGCCAATATGGCCTAGCAGTCTATGATGTGGCTGGGTACGATGCAGTCACTTGCGAACTGGATACAGGTACTAATGGGTTAAAACGGTTTGGAAAAACATGTGAATTAACTAAAATTGAAAGTGATATTTCTACCTCTTTTGTGGTTGAACTTGTGGGCGTGGACCTTGTTGGCGTGGCCCCTGCGGGTGTGGCCCCTGCGGGCGTGGCCCCTGCGGGCGTGGCCCCTGCGAGTGTAGTACCTGTGGGCGAGGCCCTTGTGGGCGAGGCCCTTGTGGTCGAGGCCCTTGTGGGCGTTGCCCTTGTGGGCGTGGCCCTCGTAGGAGTGGTCCCTGCAGGTGTTGGCCCTGTGGGTGTGGCCCCTGGGGACCTTGCATTCTTTGCCCCATGGCCTGTGGTCCCGCCCGGCCTCTGCCCCGCCCCCTCACACTAGGAGATTGGGGCCGAGGCCCCGCCTCCCATGGGCCTGCTGACTGCGGTCGGACCTGCTGCTGCTGTGGTGCTTGGAACCTCTGCTGCTGCTGCTGCTGTTGCTGCTGAAACTGTGCCCTGACTGGCTGACCACGCCCTCTGCCACGCCCCATATTATTGGAAGATCCCTGGGGTCGTTGACCTCTGACCTGGGTCACGCCAGGCCTGTTGACTGCGCCGACAACTCCTACTGGCCGCTGGGGCCGTATCACGTTGCCCCCTCCCCCTAGCGTCGGGATGGGCTGGGGTGCGGTGTCTACAAGTACCTGATCAAAATAGTTGGGAAATATTCTTTGAATCCGAGGCAGGTGTGAGATTTCACACGCATGAACAACATACAAGATTTTTTTTACTCTGGTCTGTTTGTCTTCCCACCTTTACCTTTTACTAAACTTTCAACAACTCTCGCATGCAACATTTGCTTTGCTGTACTTTACCTTGACATTTTGCTGTTGTTGCCAGGTTTGTTGCTGAAACTGCTGTCCCTGGGGCCCTGGCTGCCGGGGTTGCGGCACTCCCCGCCCCACCCCTTGTGGCCTGGGTTGTGACATGGGCCTCTGGGCACGGGGCCCGCCTGCCCACTGCTGCGGTGCCCCTTGCATCTGGGGGTTTGGCTTGGGGGTCTGCTGGGCTGCGGTAGTGAGGGTCCTGTTTGCGGAGGCTGTGGATATGTTGAACAATGTAATTGAAAAAAACTTTCTAATATTTCAAAGGGTGAACAAAGAAATTGACTGGAGCGGGGTTTGAACCTGCGACCTCCGGATTGCCATTCCAGTGCTCTACCAACTGAGCTATCCAGCCCTATGTTGGCGGTTCAACGATCGGTCAAAGTCCTTGTTCAAGGGACTTTCATCAGCGAACTAGAATTGTAAGCCTGTTAATTTTCTGTGTGATAGCTTTTTTTTTGGAACCAGTTTGCTTACCTGGTGAAATGCTGCGGTTACCAGCCTGACCTGGTCGCTGCTGCTGTTGCTGCTGCTGTGGGGAGGGCTGCCTCGGACCTGGCACCTGCGGCTGTCGCTGCTGTGGCTTCTGCTGCTGTTGTTGTGGAGGTTGCTGTGGTGGCATTGTCTCCTGAAAGTTTCAAGATGCACATTTGACTTGAGTTCACCAACACTTTCATATTGTACACTAGCAGGTCTTGCTCACAAAAAATCTGAAATGTACCCCCTTTATTTACAGCTAACACAGCTGCGATTTTTGGACTTGTCAAAAGACAAATCGGGCATGACAATTCCCTGTGTGATATTAGCTCCCATATATGTTTCAGACTCCCATACATGGAAGCTCTAGCACACATGCATTTGAAGCAACATTTTTGAGAAACTATCGTTCCAACAGCTCAATTTTGAAAGACCTCAATTTTGTACCCCCGAAACTTGTTACCACGATAATTACACAAAAAACCTTAAAACTTGCGAGGACAAAAGCAAGATGTCTTACCTTGGTGGTAGTATTGTCCTGTTGTGAGTTCTGTTTCTGGCTAGCCATACGTTTCTTGAGCTCAGCTTGTTTAGATGCAGCCAGCTGCTGTCGTCTGGCTTCCTTCCTCTGTAGTATCATCTCACGTAGCTTCTTCTGCTCCTCCAGCTGGATGCGCAGTTTCTTGGTCTCTGCATCTTCATCAATCTACAGGGTGGTGCAAAGGAAGGAAACCCACTTTCGACAGGAATTTTAACCTACTTACTTAACTTATTTGAACTGTTTATGTAGTGAAGTATAGCTCTTCAACCATACGTAAAAAAAAAAAATGCAAGAATAGTGTTATTATGCTAATTTGAATACAAGTTCCAAACAGTGACCAAATATGACTTATACCTCGCCTTTGGGTGGCTTGGTAACTGCCGCTTTGGAGCCTTTCTTGGTAGCCTCTTCTATCAGCCGTTTTGGCGAGGGAAGGATTCTGCCCTTGTGGACAGGGTTCTGGGGTGATGGCTGGCCGGCTGTGGGTTGCTGTTGCTGGGGTGATGGTTGCCGGGGTGATGGCTGCCTCGGCGATGGTTGCCTTGGCGATGGTTGCCTCGGCGATGGTTGCCGGGGTGATGGTTGTCGCTGGCTTGGTGTCTGGAACCTCTGGCCGGGGCCGCTTTGCCTGTTCAGAAGAAAAGGTTGGGCTTTATAAAAGGTGAACACTTTCACCTTCTGACGAATTCATTAACTTTTTATGAAACGTTGAACGAAGAAATTGACTGGAGAGGGATTTGAACCTGCGACCTCCGGATTACCATTCCGGTGCTCTACCAACTGAGCTATCCGGCCCTATGTTGGCAGTTCCCCAATTTGTCAATATATTTGTTCATGGGGCACTAGTCAGAAGCCACTGTGGTTCATTTGAGAAAAAAAAAATAAGTTTTTAGGACTGAAAACAGTGGAATAATGTATGCAGCTACTGTGTTTATATATTTGATAAATCCAGTAGCTCTAAGGAGTGGGTCCACAAGGCACCATGCACTGGAGCCCATAGGCCCGGATGATTTCCTTACCTGATATTGGGTGGTCCTTGTTGTCGGTACCCTGGCCTGTGTTGGTGCGGGGGTGGCCCTCTCATATGCTGTGGTTCCCCAGGTGGTCGCATCTGGTTGGGCTAATATTAAAATAAAACCAGGAAATATGAATGGTGATAAAACAGACAATATTGATAAAAAAAAGTCAAAAATTGTAAAAAAAAAAAAATTACAGACAGAAACTTTTCCAATCTTAATTGACAAAGAATGCTTGAAATAATCACATTGGACAATTTAAAAAAAAATACACTCCATTTTGTAAACGGGGACGATTTTTCAACATTTTCCCCATATGCCATGAAGTCAAAGCCAGAGTGGCATGTCGAACACAGCCAAACATTACTTCGTGTTCCATGAGCACACGCATCTTAGAATATCGCTTGATGCAAGACAGAAGCAATGAAATATGGGATAATATTATTTATATCAGGCTTCCAGTTTTGAAACCAAATCAGCGTATTGTATGCGTTCATAAAAGTACCAGGATGACTGCAATGTTGTGTCAGTAAAAGTACCCGGATGACAATATAATTTTTGACGTTGTCTTCATCTGGGCATTTTAACAAATTTTGCCGATTCCCGCGGAATCAAGAGCATAGAAACTCACAGTTGTCAACCAGCCAACAGACCGTAGTGCACGTTGCCCTTGCATGCGTACGCAGCGCGCAGCAGGGTATATGCGCACTGTTGTCACAACCATAATGGCAACCTAGCACGACACGAAATTTGCTTCCGTAAGCGAAGAATATTCAACAAGATCTGAGAAATAAAGACAGTGTCCTGAATTTTGTATCTTGCAAATCAAGTCAACCTGATATAAATAATAATAACAATATTGGATTTTTTTTCCGGGGCATATAAATATATTGTACTTGCTATAACAATATTGCACTTGTCAGGTGCAATATATACATGTATTCCCCTCAAAGCCGTTCAATATTATAAAAATACGACACGTTGTTACCCTGGATCGCCCGATCAAGATCAAGTTCATGTTATCTTGAGGATAAAACTAAATATTGAGTCATTACCTGCATGGCCCTGGGTTGCGGCTGCCTGGGGCCCTGTTGGTGCTGGTGGGGAGGGGGGAAGCGCTCATGGGGGGATCTGGGGCCGTTGAAGCTGGGTGGATGCTGCTGGTGTGGTGGGTGGCCACGGAACTCTGGTCCTGGGTAAAGAGAGGCGGGACCCAAACGTAAAAGAGAGCGTAAGTAACGCGTTTTGCCAAATGCTGTATACACAGCGGCACGACCAACATGCAAAAGCATGACTCGATCGTGAGTACATGGTGAGACGAGTTTTGCAAAAGGTGCATGATGCATGATCAGTTGACCTTTCATAAAACTGCCATTGCGCATGCTCATAATACGATCAAAATATGCTACACCGTCAGTGGGCGACGTTCAACTACCGTCTTACTTGGTGGGCCTTGGTGTTGATGGCTCCACGTCACTGACACGGAATCAGGTCTACCAGGCTGGGACCAACCGCCGCCTGGGGCTTGGTGCTGACTGACAGGCGGGGTCCACGGCTCGGAAGGCTGGGGTCTGTAAGGCTGATGCTGCTGCTCATGTGGGCCCTTTGAGGAAAACAAACAGTAACAAACACTCTTACATATCTCAAACTCGTACAAATGTTTTAATCCGTGGGCTACGGGGAAAGATGACGTTGAAGTTGTAGAGGTCAAAATTAAAGACATTGGGGGAAAAAAAGCAGAAAAAAAGCTTACCCCATAGCTGCCTGGTGGACGCTGGTCTGTTGGAGGCGGCCCCTGGGGATGTGGTGACGGCTGCGTGTGCATGTGCGTCGGGGGATGTGTCTGGCCGTGCCCCTGGGGCGGTGGGGGACCACCCTGAAAGGGTGGCTGATGAGGGGGTGGATGCTGGGACTGAGGGGGTGGATGCTGTGACTGAGGGGGGTAGGGGCGGCTACCTGCTGGGGTGTAGGATTCAGAGGGCTGGTAGGGGCGGCTCTGGGAGCTGGCCGGGGGCTGGTATTGGGACTGGGGAGGGGGTCCTGAGTGGGGGGCATGGTGGACGGGTGGGGGAGGTCCTCCTGAAGGAAATAAGAAATCAAAATTTGTTTCAGGGCATACAAAACCAAGTATTTTTCTCATGATGCAGCATGTACATGTCGGTAGTCTCCGACATTTCAAGATATTTGAGGTGTACAGTAGGCTGCACATTTTCCTGTTTTTGAATGTTTAGTTTGTTAATTTTTGAATTGTGGAATTTCTTACCTTGCTGAGATGGGACTTGCACCTGACCTTTAAAATGCGGGTTAATGAGAATGGTCTTGCTTTTAGGTGCCTGAGACTGAGAGCTGGCCGGGGTACCAGACTGGCTCACAGGCTGCACTGGCTGAGCCTGGCTGGCAGTAGCTGCTGAACTCTGACCTCCCTACAAACAGATGGGAAATAGAATGGATACTATACAGTCATGGTTGGCTGATCCTGGTGTGTTGAGTCAATTGGGAAGCACCAATAAACCTCCCTGTAGTGGATGAGAAATACGTACTATGCGCAAAGAACTGTGAAGGCTCTTCGTAAATATATGTGTAACATGAAGATTTGAACATTTGATCACATGGAAATTTGAATATTTGAATATTGAATTATCAAACTGTCCTTGTCATTACCATTAATATACTTTTGTGGCTCGTTAACATGAGATTGTTAAAATATGGAATTCTTTCAAATTAATCCCGTCCTACTCATTACAATACAAATCATGAATGTGTACGAATGCAATGGTAAGAATAATTTCATGAGGTAACAGATGGAATGTTCCATTCCACAAGGCGAAGTTTGTGGAATGGAACATTCCATCCGTCACACTTCGCAATTATCAGGGGTGTGAGTGACCACTGATAAAAATAGCTGAAAATAGCTGAAAACAGCTGAAAAAGGTGTAAAAAAGCTTAACTTGTGGAAATCTCCTATACTTTTGTACACAGCAAGTGAGGGAAAAAAGCTGAAATCCAAAACAAAAAAAGCTGAAATCAGCTATAAAGCTGAGATTTCACACCCCTGAATTATCAGCATGAGGAAGTTGCAGTGGGTAGCTGGTACTGCACTTTTGAATATTGGGTCAACTCGGGTAAAGGCTGACACGGGCCGTCATGATCCTCACCTCGACCACGTTGTAACCCCGTCCTTCGCAATTCAGTTTCTCAGCTGCGAGTAAGGAAGATTAGCCTCCCAATCCCAAATTATTATTATTATTATTACTTACCTGCGTTGGCTGATTGGAACTGGACTGGTTCGGTCCCTGACTGGTTATGGGCGGCACCCTGCTCGGTTCCTCCTTGCCCGGGTGGTAGGGCTCAAAATCAAACCTCCCCCCTCGGAAGTGGCCAGCCGGCGGCCCCCGTACGACCTCCTCAATGGGCTGAAAATTATCCATTGCGGGCGGCAGTTGCTGCACCCCCATAAAACCGGGGCCGGCATTGCCAGGGAAACGAGGCGGTCCCATCATGTGAGGGGGCGGGCCTTGGTTTCGGATGCCCCGGTGGCCGCGGTTGCCCCGGAAGCCACGCCCACCGCGGCCCCGGTTACGCCTCATGTGGTGTTGCTCCTCCTTCTGTCGCGCAAATTCGTCCACGGTCTGCTGGATTTCTGCCGTTATCTCTGATGAAACAGGGAAGACGCAAACATCATAAGTGCCCACTAAAGTTATCTGCAAAAATGTACTAAACGATACAAAATGTCTCAGCACAGAACCACACTTCATCAAATATGTGATTAATTCCATGGTTCAGCCCGAATCTTACCACACTAAGAATGTTTCCCCAATTTTTCGGGGCGAGATTTTAGGAGTTGGCCTGGATGTTGTTCCGACAGGTTCGTGGGTGATATTGGTTGGTCGTGATAGCGCTCTCTCGCTGCGGCGGGTTACCGCATGGCTTCAGAAGAGACATGGTCTGCAAATTGTTTCACTTTTCTTACCTAGTGTCGCTGGGATGTCCTTGCGTTTGGATGCTCCCCCTACTTTGACGGTGGCCGGTTGGCGTTCCGATCTGAATCTAGCCCTGGTGGAGTCATCATCATCATCTTCGTCCTCGTCGGTGGATGGGATGTCCTCCCTGGTGTCGGATCCTTCCTCCTCGTCCTCCTGCCGTGGCTGGGACGCAGTCTGTGAGATGAGACAAGAAGATTCTCAAGCTATATAAGGAGTTGGGGACGGAGGGGGCAGAATCAACCCCAGGGTTTCAAACAGACCCAGGTGATAAAGCAGAACCGTAGGATCGAATATCCAGCAAACTGGAACACCAAAGGCTTTTGCTGCCATCATACACCTCTTAATACCAATAAAGGGCATTGTTCTGATGGAGCGATGTGTGTTGTTGCTATTACTTCAGTTTGACAACGCTGGCACAGAAATATCCAAACACCATTTTTGGTATGGAGCACAATGCACAATCTTTTTCAGTGACAGTGTACTAATTTACCTGGCTATTTGACTGTGAAGAATCTTTCTCAGTTTCTTTGACATCTTTTGTAGACTTTTCTCTGGCAGGGGCGCTTGGGGTAGAGGTTGTGGGTCCGGCACCCCTGCTCGTCACTGTGTGTAGGGTGAAATGAGAAGAATTAGGAGCCAGACTGATGAGCGAGTCACTCAATCATCAAAACCGCATTGAAACTTCAACCCAACTGCCTGTTCCAGACTTTCTGAATTTCCCAAAATCTCACTCGTGCCCCAGCCAATGCTGTGATTCTACTTTCTGGTCATTCCGTGTCAAGTCACCCCCCAAAAATGAAACTTTAAACCGCACCCCCTCCAATTGATTAAAGTTTTAGCATCATTGGACCAACAGTATCTGCAGTTTTGATCGAAATGGGCATTGCCACAAAAGACTAGGAGGGTTAAAAACGATAAAACTTACCTGGTTTGTCTTCAGCGACTTCCTCAATGAGGCTATCATCCAGATCCTCAATGTCTAAGACGTCGTCCATCCCTGGCCCCAGCTCAATGGCATCCTCCAATAGCGCTGCATCATCATCTTCTTCGGCCGTGGTTGCGTCCAGAACAGGCTCTTCGGAATATCTTTAAGTAAGAAAAGTGCAAGTTGTAAGACATCTGCACTCTAGTAAATAGTCTATGTAATGGACTGTGGCGAAAGCCACGGTCTATAATTTTGAACAGATTCCCTGTTTAATTATGCAAGACAACCACATCTTGACCTCTAAATTTGACCAATCGGCAGGCGACCTTTTATATCCGGTCTTCGATCATTCACCCGTTGCCCGTCATAGACATGGATAAAAAAACCTGTGTCACGCGCTCTGTATCATGTTACGCATTATGCGCCCAGTTGTTGTTGTATTACAAAACACTGCACTGAATTGACCAATCAAACCATTAGTCCTGATTTGGGAATGAAATGACGTCACGCTTTAGTCGACTCCGATTGGCTGGCGTGCGGCTTGCATTGATCTGCATGTCTAGACATATCAGACGTTATACAGGAGACTTGGCTCCGTGGTTAACGGGTGATACTCAGACTACTCTCGTTATGCAAACGTGATGTACATGTTTAGTGTACTATTAAAAACTCACTCGGCCTCTTCATAGGTGTCACCGCCCTCTACATAGGTGTCTCCGCCTTCTTCATAGTCCCCGCCCACGTCACCTTCATAAGTCTCTTCACCACCTTCTTCATAGTCTCCGCCCACTTCCCCATAGTCCCCGCCTACTTCGTCATAGTTTTCTCCACCCTCTCCTTGGTACTCCTCCTCTCCTGCGTACTCCTCGGCTACGTCACCCTCTGTCTCGCCTGGTGCGTCACCCCATTCGTCACCCTGGGTATTGTCCAGCATTCCAGAGTCGTTAATTGAGAGGTCGTCTTTCTGTCCGCTTGTGAGGCTAGCAACGCCACCCTCGTAGTTGACTGCCGTTTTTGTCTGCTCACTATTCTGTTCACCGGTCTGTTCACTGGTCTGACTCTCCACCCCTCCCTCATATGTTTGCTCATGCAGCTCGTCATCGCTGTCTCCCAGTAAAGCGTCTTCATCAATATCACTTAAGGAATGGCCTCTTGTCTGAAGACAAAAGAGGTAATTTTTCTTGAACATGGACATTATAAACATGAATCCAACAGATTCTAACAGCTAGAGGAATAGCAACAACAAGTGTTGTGCATCGGAACCTGGTACCCGAGTACCCGACCGTTGATGTCAGGAACCGGTTCCAGATTGTGGGATCGAGTACCGGTATAAACCAACTTTACAAATTACTCAGTAAGTTTCTCCTATAACGTAAACGAACAGTTTTGAATGCCATTTGTGGGGAATTTTCAAACTGAAAACTAGCCCACATGGGAAAACAAAACATAGTTCACGTTTTATGAGGCTCGCGAAAGTTCCAGTTTACACCATAAAGCTATAAAGCTCACTGTACGCACTGGTATCTTGATGCACTGATGTAGTGTTATCGTACGGACATTTATGAACAATCTGAACAGCAACTTCAGAGATTTGAATTTTGGGGTTGGATTTCTTTGATCGGGTACATGTAAATGCACAAATGACAAATGGTCCATTGTACCTTTAAATCTGTGATTTTGTTTCCAGTGGCAAGGCGCTTGCGGCGATAGGAGGCACCATCAACAAGACAAATCCAATCCAATCCTGGAAACGTCGGCGCCCTGACCCCCAACATTCTGTGCACACCTCATGCGCTAATGTGCGCGTGGGTGGTATGCTCGGGAAATTTTGCGGTGCAGCGCCAATGTTCCCAAGACTAAATTGGATTCATCTTGTAGCACCCTATAGCACCGCAGAGACTTGACCTGCTTGCCGGCCAGTGTCTGGCTGTGTAAGAGACACACCATCTAAATCTAGTACTGGACAAAAAAACTTCGTTCAGCAGGAAATCACAGTAACAATCAGCTCTGCCTTTCTACCTTTTTGGCTGGGGCATGGTCTTCCTGTAACAGCTCGTCGTCACTGTCCCAGGACGCCTCAGTCGGGCGTTTCCTTTTGAACGAGAGATCGTCGTCGTCACCAAACTTGTTGAATTCCAGGTCATCTGTGACAAAGACAACAGGACATGCATGTAGACTTTATCGTGAATATCGCTTGCGTGATTTTGCACATTATCTTGAAGCAAAAACTTGAATCCTCGATCCTGGGCAACAACGGTGTGATATTATACCTAATGGCATAGTCGATATCGCACTCTGTCTCTGCATATCACTATTCATAAGATGGAATCTGCATCGGGGTGATGCATAGGCCACATACGAACTCGGCCTATGCATCGTGCGGGAATTTGCACGCCTGCGCACTTGCAGTCATTTTTAGAAAAATATGTCGGTGACTTGCCTACGTCACAGACAACCCGAACATTTGCGGGTCAATCTAGGTCAATTCCCGCGCGGACCCTCTATTTTTGAACCGATCGATATTGCGGTCGGCCGATATGTAATCTGATACGTTCCCACGCCACGGCCAGGCACACTATTCACTGCATGCATACTGCATACAAATGCGTATGTACATGTATTGGATGATCCAGGGGATCGGGGGCTTCAAGTCAATTTTTTAAAACGGAGTTAAATTCGAAGCTTGCTTCATTTTATTTTTGACCAAAATGCAATTGGATTATATTCAAAGTTACATAATAATACAGCAAATATGAAAGATCGTATAGATTCCTACATCATTTGTTGTGATTAGCCACTGGAAAACACAGTACAAAATAGCCTTATTTAAGTTTAATAACTTTTCAAAATCTGAACCTGTGGTTTTTACGCGTACGACGATGGAAAAAAAAACACATTTTTAAAGTTCTTATCCTTTTTTCCCCGGCATATGTTTAAGTTATATTTTATTGTCACAGTGCTAGCCCGGGACGGATAAGCATCGTGTCTTTTTGCTGTCAGTCTTTTTGTTATCATTTTAAAATTTATTATGTTAGGCATATTTTATTCATAGGTTAATTTAAATGTAAGTTATACTATTGTCAGTTCTTGCATGCTGTTTTTACTTTTTTTACTCTTTGATTTTACACCAGGACAAGAATGTGTTTGTTTTTAACTTAGATGACTAATAAAAGTACGAATATGAATGTTCACCACTTGTCAATAATGTCGAGAAGTTATAACAACAAAGGCATGAAAATAAAAGGAAATACACTTGATGCCAACTTCACGAAAGGGGTAGATCATGGGGGCAATTCAGAAGAGTCGTCAAAGAACAGACGCAAAACAAACAATCCAGATTATCATCTCCCCCAGGCTAATACATAGTCAAAAACTCGTTCTTTAAAAAATCGAATCAAAAGAAGTAAGCAGTAAGCATGACAAGTCTTCTAAAAAATAGTTTTGAAATTTTTTGAATCAAATTGCAAAAGTTTTTCAGCGTTTTTACGGAGGGACTAAATTATCAGTCCAAAAATCATACCTTTTTTCAAAATTCTTGTTCCGGCTGAAATTGGTAAATGCACGCAACAAACATTTTTTGGAAAGAAGTCTTGGTCAAAATCAGATAAAATCAACGAAATCATAACAATCATTGTTGAGAAAACTTCACCTGAATGTCTTTTGATTTTTTACGAAGAGACAAATTCGTTCAAAGGGTGGGGAATGGGTATCGGCAATTTGCCAAAACAAGTGTGTGGGATTTAGTTTTCACGACCAGACAAACATCTATGGGGATTAGTTACGATACCGGTACCTCGCAATTGTTGTTCCATTATTCTGTAATTGGTACATCTTTGAAGTTTCATCTGTGTTTCAAAAGTTAGTCAGTAGTAGGCGAAATGTTTATTCCAAATCGTGACCAACTTAAAGTTCAACGGGTGCATTATGTTATACCTGTTCCCCAAACCTAACCCTAACCATTAAACCCCAACACCTATTGCGGCAAATTCACCCCTTCGTGAAAACGCTGACAAATTGGAATAAGCGAAATCTGGATAAAGTCAACACTGATAACTCAAAACTTGAAATTCAAACCATCCCTCCATGGTCAAAGAAAACTGCATAGTACTACGAAATAAAACAATATATATATATACCCTGATTAACCGAAATTTCGAGTTGTTCCGTAGCTGCATGGGAGGCTATACTATCAAGGTTGGGGCCTTATATATCGCAAGTCCGACTCCTCCGATGATAAACCTGGACCCCCGCCACGCCTCGGAAGTCCGAAATTTCCAAATTATTAGGCGTCGGAATGATGAGGTGTCGGACCTAGGCGTCGGAATTTTATAAGTTATGGGCCTTATATTAGATTTTGCCGGACTTGAAGCCTATATGCGTCTGACCTATATGAGGCTTAGCGGAGCCCTTCAGATTTCCCTTTAAGTCCAATGTTATTGAAAGGTCATTGGAAACGATGGAAAATGATGAATACTCCGAATACAAAATCCTCTAAATAATTATGGAGAACTAGTGATCAAAGGCATCTTGTGAGCGAATAGTTCGTCAGTACTGATTGTTATTCTCCTCTGATGTTATTGTGTATCGTCTAAACATGAGAATGCAGTTTCTATTTTGTTGGTTTCTGACAAAGGAAGGCATTTCAAATACATGTAGTTTGCTCCAAATTTTAGAGAAAATATTCTGAACTTGCGGAAAAAGGACCCACCAAGTCAGAACGTCGGCCAAAGAGGCGAAAAAAGATATGGTTTTTTTGCATGCCTATAGAATGTATAAGGGAGGTGTTTGGTACGCCCACGGGGGTACGGACGTGCGGATCCAGATAATCCACCCTAAGAATTTCTGTGTAATAAGCCATGCTAGAGTAAACTTTTAAATAATAAAACATGAATCAATGAAGTTGGAGGCTCACTCGGATGGGGTCCGCTCATAAGTCCGACGCCTCATAGGTCCGACGCCTCATAAGTCCGACAAAATCGCATCCCCTAACCAAATAAAGGCCCATTAGTCCGACGCCTCATAAGTCCGACGCCTCATAAGTCCGACGCCTCATTAGTCCGACAACGTAAAAACGAGGCGTTTAATTTGTCGGACTTATGAGGCGTCGGACTTATGAGGCGTCGGACCTATGAAGCGGAATTAATAAATTGTATGCCTCATAAGTCCGACGCCTCATAAGTCCGAAATTTCGGATTTATGAGGCGTCGGACTTATGAGGCGTCGGACTTATGATGCGGCCCTACTCGGATGACAGGTAAGGGAGCCGCTGGTACGTTCAAGTTTGACACCACCGAGGAGAAAGAGAAGGCTGCCGGCCAAGGCTAAGGCAGCTAAGGAGAAGGAGAGAATCAAGGCCAAGAAGGAACGGGAAATGAAAGCCAAGATTGCAGAAAAGCCAAGAAAGCCACAATGGTGAAGAAAGTCAAGAAACCCGCGCCGAAGAAGTCACCCAAGAAAGCTGCCAAGAAAACGCCATCCAAGTCAAATATACATCTGTCAAGAAATCCTCCACCAAGCCATGCCAGCCAAGTCAGCCGAGCTCAAGCCAGCCAAGAAGCCAGCTAGCAAGAACACATCGAGCAAGCAGAAGAAAGTGTCGGCCAAGCCTTCGAAGAAATCATCAAATCAACAAACTAAAACCAAAACGGCTCTTTTCAGAGCCACAACATTTTCACAAAAGAGATATGAGATATTCGTGTCTGCAATTTGCATTTTTTTTTTAATTTTATATTTTTCATGATTACTGTTTTTAAGTTTTCGTATAAAACCCCCACCCCCCCCCCCTCTCCCCCCAAAAAACCCAAAACATCATTGCATGAAAATAGGATATTTTCACCCCATAGTATATTCCATTCCGCGCCAGGGGACAGCGCAAAGGGTGAATAAAAAAAAATGATATTCCAACCTCCTGATTCGGAGTACTCTAACCCCCCCCCCCCCACACACACACACACACGCTTAATTGCACAGGCGTAGAGGTGGGGACGCGGCCCCCATCCCCCATTTGCCCCCATCCCCCATTCGCCCCTCCCCCCGCCCCTAACTCCCCCTTCCCCAGGGTCTGGATAATGGTGCACGGAAAAAAGGAAAAATTAGGAACAAAGGAAATTTTATCCCCGCCCTGCCCCAAGGGGTCGGGATAATGGGCAAGGCCAAAAGGGTCAATAAAAAATGTGCATGGAGTGTTCCCGGTGCACCGCCCCCAACCTCCCCACCCTTCCAACCTGCACTCCAACCCGCGGGCCTCCCTCACCCCACCCACTCAACCCCGTCTCGTCGCTTTGGGATAGTATAAGGGACGAAAAAAAAGGCCATCAACAAACGGAATCCTTGCTTTGTAACGCTTCTTCCATAGCTCCTGCACGGGTGCATGTCTATGTTCCCCAATTCCGATGTTCCCCAATACCATGTTCTCGAAATCCTTACCAATATAACCCTAACCCTAACCCTAACCCTAACCCTAACCCTAACCCTAACCCTAATCCTATGGATTTGGGGGAACATGGTATTGGGGAACATCGGGTAGATCCCCTGCTCTGCTGCACGTACGTACTGTATACTGATCATTCGCAATTTTTGGCAGTTCCTTCGAAAAATGTCCATGCATATTGCTCGCGACCATCGCACAATCAAACTGACCACCCACATGTGGCACACCATTCGACAGCTAAAATCCTCAACTATTCGAAATAAATTCATTTGAATTTGAACCAAACACTGGAAAGAAGACAAACGGGATGGAAGAGATGGACTCCTACTCCTAGCGAGAGTGGCCGAAATTGATCGACGACGATGTCATGCGCGTATTAAAGCAACAATTTGACGATTGCGTCATACAATTCGGCGCTGTTCACCTAATTTGCATACGAAGGTTTCTGTGAATAGTTTGTCGTGGCCCCCACCCTCTGCCCCAAGGGTCGGAATTATAATGCAAGGACCAAATCAAAAGAAGATTGAGAAATTCCAGGCCCTCCCCATCTGCGGCTCTCCCGGGGATATTCAACCCTCCTGGTTTGGAGTACTATAACCCCTCCACCTCTCTCTCCCCCTCCTCTCCCCCCCCTCTCTCTCTCCCCCCCCCCCCCCAAGAGCAGCACGTCTTAAGATTAATCGCTGGAAGAACATGAATGATATTCCATCCTCTTTGTTTTGGGAAATCCAACCCGTCTCCCCCCCCCCCCTCCACCCACGGGTATGCAGGTCTGAATAAAATCACTTGAAAAATATGCAATCCTTTGTTTGGTAAATCCACCAGCCCTGCCCACTCCCACACCCACCCACTGGGCATCATGATCTGGAACTGAGAATCACTGGAAGAAAATCCCCCGACCCCCAACAACCCCTACCCGGCCTCAACCCCCCCCCCCCCCCCCCCCCACCCCAACCCAGTCCCATCTCGCAGTAAAAAAGAAAGTCTGGTCGGGAACGTAATTGCACCACCACCGTAAAAAGACAAAAATCACTGTTGGAAAACAAATTTCAGCTTTCTTGGCATGGCTTGAACCGCACACCCCGCCCCCGCCCCCGCCCCACCCCGGGGGTCTGAATATGATATCCAGGACAGGGGAAATGAAAAATGAAAGGGGTAGGCCTACTCCCAATAATATAATAAAGGTGCATCATTCATCAGAAAACAAAACATCTTGCTTTTTAGATTAATCTTGGTTTTTTTTATTAGAACGCAAGCGGTGATGGCGTGATCAATTGAAAATCATTTGCAATTTTTGGCTGTTCCATCGAAAAATGCCAATGCATATTGCTCGCGACCATCGCACTATCAAACCGACCACCCACATGTGGCACACCATTCGACAGCTGAAAACCTCAACTATTCGGAATAAATTCATTTGAATTCGAACCAAATGTTGGAAAGAAGAAAAATAGGATTGAAGAGATGGACTCCCAGTGAGATTGGCCGAAGACGATGTCATGCGCGTAATGAAGCAAGAACTTGACAATGACGTCATCATGAGCGGAGCTGTTCGCCTAGTTGGGTCATTCTATAAATTTGGGGTCCAAAGTGTGACATTTTTCCCGTCCCTGTTACCTTGGTACTTTGTAATTTGCCATTCAAGCATTATTAAAAGTGACTTCAAATGATTGTTTATTTGTTGGGTAGGTAGTTTGCTATTCATAATCACTCTTAGAGGATGACTGCATTAAGGAGTGCATCAGAATTATACAACCATAGATGTCAGATGTAACAGGGACGGGAAAAAAAGTGGACCCCAAAATTATAGAATGACCCAGTTGCATACGAAGGTTTCTGTGAATAGTTTGTCGGGGCCCCCACCCTCTGTCTCCAAGGGTCGGGATATAATGCAATGACCAAACTCCGCTGGATCGACGGCCTCACCAGATGGAGCGGTCTCAGCGTGGATAAACTAACTGCGGCGACCCTTCAGCGAAGGAAATCACCCCTTCACCAGTCACACAACCCAGAAGAAGTGGACGGTTGTTGCGTCAACGGGCAGTAGCCTACGACGTCTGATGATGATGATGATGATGATGATGAGGATGATGAAGAAGATTGGGAAATTCCAGGCCCTCCCCTTCTGATGCTCCCCGGGATATTCATCCCTCCTGGTTTGGAGTACTCTAACCCCCAGTAAAAGAAAGTCTGGTCGGGAACGTAATTGCACCAAATTAAAAGACAAACTTCACTTGTTGGAAAAAAAAATTCAGCCCTCTTGGCGTGGTTTGAACACCACGCTCCGCCCTCCCCCACCGCCCCACCCCCAGGGTCGGAATATGGTATCCAGGGCAGGGGAAAGGAAAAAAGGAAGGGGTATTCCCAATAATAAAGTCACATCATTCATCAGAAAACAAAACATCTTGATTATTTTATTAATCTTGGGTTTTTATTAGAACGCGCGCGGTGCCAGCGGGCCGGATATAGCCGGCGTGATCAATTGAAAATCATTCGCAATTTTTAGCAGTTCCAGTGATAAATTTCCATGCATTTTGCTCGCGACCATAGCACTATTAAACCGACCACCCACTTGGGCCACACTATTCGCAAGCTAAAAACCTCAATTACTCGGAATTAATTAATTTGATCTCAAACCAAATGTTGGAAGGAAGAAAAACAGGATTGAAAAGATGGACTCCCTTGGACAATACGAAGTTTGAGTTCCAAAAAGGAAAACGCTAAAACAATATTTTAACTGTCAAAACTCACCCTTTCATTTAACGATTTTGACGCTTTCTTCGGCAAAAGGAAGTGGACATCATTCTGTTGCTTTCAACATGTAAATTTCTGGCATGTGCATCCTCCGATGTAGGCCTACAATGATATTATTCATAAAACTGAAGGAGTCTGGCCGAAAATTGGCCGAAGTAGATGGCATGCGCGTAAGCAAGAATTTCATGATGATGCTATAATGAGCGGCGCTGTTTACCTAATTTGCATATCAAGATTTCTGTGTTGGTGGGGGCCCCCACCACCCACTGCCCACTAGGGTCGGGATATGTTGCAAGGACCGAAAAAAGAAAAGGAAATGTGAAATTCAACCCTCCTCCTTTTGAGCCCCCCCCCCCCCCCCCCGGATTTTAAGCTTCCTGGTTTTGAGTACTCTACCCCCGGCCCCCCTCTACACTAACGAGGCATCCTCCCCCACGCCCCCCCCCCCTCCACCGGCAACCCCTTATGTGCACTCCCCTTCCAATGGGTCCTGATATGGTGCAGGTGTAAGAAATGAAAGACAGGAAATATTCCATTATCCTGGTTCTCAGTACCCCCCTCCCGTTCCTTCCCCCCCCCCCCCCCACCCAGGGGACCCCACCCCGACCCTCAAGGTGTTGGGATATATGCAATGGCCATTCAACCAAAGAATGTGCATATTCCACCCACTGTGTCTTTGTTCCCCCGCCCTCCCCCCCCCCAATCCCCTCCCCCTCCCCCTCCCCCACCCCACCTGCAGGCCTCCCCCACCCAACCCGCGGGCCATCCCCACCCCAACCCACCGCCCAACCCCGTCGCATCGGGATACAGGGTAAAAGGGACAAAAAAAAAGAGACACACACACATTTCATCAAACGGGATCCCTTTAATCAAACGGGATCCCTTTAATCTTCGTAACCGTCTTCCACTGACCTATATATATCTCCTGCACGTTGCACGTGTTTATATCACGTGATTACTTCACTATCATTCGCATTTTTGGGCAGTTCTAGCGAGCAATTTTTATGCATATTGCTCGCGACCATCGCCGTATCAGACCGACCACCCACATGTGCCACACTATTTGAAAGCTGAAAACCTGTTCTATATGGAACTAATTCCGGTTTTTCTGAACCAAATTCGAGAAGACAGAAATTTAGGAGTTAAAAGATGGACTCCCTCGAAAAATAAGAAGTTTTGGTTCCTAAAAAAAAACCGCTAAAAAATGTTTGAACTGTCAAAACTCAAGCAATAATTTATCGATTTTGACGCTTTCTTCGGCAAAAGAAAGCAGATATCATGAGCGTTTCTACTGTAAATTTCTGGCATGTTCACTCTCCGATGCATAATGATTTCATTCATAAAACTGAAGCGAGTCGGGCTGAAATTGATGGCATGAGCGCAAGCACGAACTCAACGTTGACGTCATAATGAGGGGCGTGTTGACCCCAATTTGCATAGGTGAATTTTCGCGATAAGTTTGTATGTGTAGGCGTATCCAACAAAGGGGGGGGGGGGGTGGGGGGGTGAATCCCCCCGATATTTTGTAAAGATACAACAGATGGGTTTTGTGCACTCGGTCCTACTAAAATGCCTTAACAAGTTGACGTTTGTTGACGCTTATTGACACATTTATGGCTATGACCCCTGTGCACTAATTCAAGCTCGACCTTTGGGAAATTCGACCTTTGAGGCATCTATTTCCGACACTTCAAACAACGCTTTTGTTCCGACATTCTTTATCAAAACCAGTCCACACTTACCGTCATCCGAGAGGTCGTCCATTGAACAGAGAGTCTTCTACTAAATGTTATTGCGGCTAACGACACATTTACGCCAATTTTAATAGGTGAAAGAGGCCAAAATGTCAACTCTCCTTAATAAATTTTATTAAAAACCACTTGGGCCTATTCCGCAAGCCAAACCGAAAACGTGATTAGCATCTGGTAACGCCACAGCCTCTCTTGTTGCCGTAGGATAACGCACACAAAATTGGGAATCGGAAACCACACTACAATACAGATGATTTCATTTTTGGACGCAAGGTGGCGCTCCATTGTTTTGGAGCAGGCAAAAAGGCAAAAAAGTATCCTAACAAAATTGGAAAAGTTTCCCAATCCCAGATTCATGTCTTTTCAACAGTTTTGCAATGACTGACCTTTATTGAGATGATATAGGAAGAAAAAGTGGCATCAGGCTGCAACGTTCTTTCTTTAAAGGTTTTCATAAGATGGAATTTGCCTCCGACAGCGGATCCAAGGGCGGGGGAGGGGGGATGTCCCCTCCCCCCCCAAAAAAAACCCCTAGGTTTTTGCCCTTCACCGACGTGTAAACGCTGTATACTGTATACAAATTAAAGCTTATTTCATCATCTTTCACCTTTTTGTAGTCCTGAGGCTTATTAAAATTAAAGCCCATCGCCATTTGAAAAAAAAAGATGCCTACGTTCGTTCCATTGCAAAATAAAGCAATTTTAGTGCCCAATCATCCAAACATATTTTGATATGATGGCGCATTATATAAGAATATCATCGAGGGGGAAAACGGTTACATCAGGTTCAGTGCATTAGGAAACGGGCTCAGTTAATATCTGGGATTCCTTCAACGAGCACGGACGTACAACTGCTTTCCATAAGCGTCGTTTCATTTAATAACTTCTGAGAGAACTTAACGCTATATTATTACTGGGACGCAGGCCTTTAATCGGGTAGAGAAGCTAACAAAAAAAACTGGCTGTTGGGAAAACGTACCGTTGGTCTCTGCATTAAGCCAAATTGTCATCAACGATTAGATTGATCGTTCAGGAGTCCTGTAATAAAGATGAGTCCTAAGTCAGACGATTGTGTTAAGTGACACCAGTGAATTCGAGCCGTGGAAGTTCCGACTGGGGTCAAAGCATCACGCGCACCGAATGGGCACGAAATGAGTTTTTGAGGATTTTAAACTATAAAATCCATTTTACAGCCACGCGTGCCATCGAGTGTTTGTCTGGCTATCTTGTTTCGAGCCGTTTCCGTGGCAACTAACTGACAGGCACATCAAATAATGGCACCATTGAAGACATATTTACAATGACAATAAAAAGTACTTTAACTCCCTGTGCTCGACATTTTGAAGTGTGTTTCGAGGCCGGGTGAAACAGGTTGTTGGCACGTTCAAGGATTTCAGCTGTGTAAAGTTAAATTCAGAAGGAGGTGTGCCATGCACCACAAAGTGCATAAGATTTTATAAGCATGAGTATTACGTATGACCTATGTCTTTTTACACTGTTACTGCAAAAGCACCAAACCTCCAACTCTGGAGATTATTGCTATACAGTGTATAGCTCTTGCTAGGGCGTCCTCTATTGTTCGCAATCACATCTAGTTCTTGTAATCCTATGGGTGCACACAATCAAATTCATTCCAATAGAAAAATCCTTTTTAAAAAATAATCAAAACTCTCACAGGCGTTCAGGCTGCACAGAAAAATAATGATCAACATGTCGTCATTCATTTTATTTTCAATTTGTGAAACATCACTCGTTTTAGGGGTCGTCTTCACGGTGTGAGAATTTCTCGAAAAGTCATCGGTCAACACACCAAAAATTGAAAAGAAAATGAAAGATGACATGTTGATCATCATTGTTCTGTGCAGCTGAACACCTGTGAGAGTTTTGAATATTTTTAAATATTTTTTGAAGTATAGCATTTATCACTGTTGTCTATGGGAATTTATTTGATTGGATGCACCCACCAATACCCCATTGAAAGGGGACTTCGTGATAGAATTAAAGCCCTCTGCATCATCAGACACCACCGACCGATCAGTGTTGGCATGAGCAGTTGTCACACAGATAATCCAATGAGCCCAGCAGATTGAGTTCAGCACCGTGCAATCCAAACACAAATTTACATGTCAAGCTTCTTCCACGTGCACAGCTGAGTGGCTTCCGCGCGCAAACAATATCGACCAGGCGCCAGCAACGAAAACAGATGCATAACCTCGCTGTGCAGGTGAAGACACACGCGTCTCTTCTTCAGGTACATTGTTGTCACGACGAAAGCCAAACAGATCCCTGGGGAACATGTTCTAGATTCACTCTCATCCAAAGGAATATTTATATACCTTCGTGTCCGCTAGCTACATCCTGGGTGGAATGCAGCTTTAAAAAGTATGCATGCACTGTTTATTCGAACGAAAAACATGCATGATGACGACAATAATACCAGGCTAATAATCATTATAAAACCCCCACTAATATTGAATAATGACGACAGTTTCATCATATAGATGCAATTGGAAAGGGATTTCTAGTGTGAATAATTCGAAAGTTTTTCTTTCAATATGAATTCTCAACTACTGTTTTTTGATATGTACTTTGATATTGTATAATTTGATATGAGATAGACCATACGCCATGTGACATCATACCATACGGGCAAACGAGCAATCGCCAGGCTTCCTAAACATTTAACCATATGATGATCTTTTTCATGTTATTTGGTCGACCGTGTTTAACGACACCACTTTTACGCCAATTGCATTTCAAGAGATACACGTACATGCAGTGCAGAACATGAGAGCTCGCTACCATGAACCTAACATCCAATTTGTAAACAAATGTTGCATAATCAATAGGCCTACACCCGTGGTCATCAAAACACAAAGGTCTTTATTTGATTTCTGGTTTTAATTGTTAAGGAAAGAACAAACAGAGCAAGAAGATATACATGTAATAGTTGTTGCACGTATAAGTGATGCGTTAGCGCTAGCACACCATATACCTATCACTAGACTAGACTACCGGTCATGACGAAATCTGAAAGAATATGCATGGCCTAGGGCCTATTACAATAAAGCTTGTACATCCGTTTTGATTATAAAAAAAAAAAATCTGATTGGATTTATACAAAAACAGTAATTTTACAAGGTCTATGTTGAATACGTTTTATTTCATTTGGATGCTGCTTTCAGGCAATCATTTCTTTATCAAAACAAAATATTTCTTTGAGTAAATTGACAATGCAAGTATTATACCGTTTTCTACGATTGGATAAATTACAATAGTTCTGCTACAGTCCTTGCCACGGGCAATCCCGGCCATCTGTCAGTCCAGAATACGGCATTGTGAAGCAGGAAAATATTTGGCACTGTGCTTGCACGAAGATCAAGACAAATTTCTTTGGGGAAATAAACAAACCCAACCAATTTCCTCGGCATTTTCCACGATTGGAAATATTACAATAGCGCTGTTGCAAACCTCGCCATTTACACTGCCTGATCATTTTCTCCCTCCTGGGTACACATTGTGGTGAAACATGAAATGACTTCAGTACGGTTGCACAAAAGCTCCTTCAAAATCGAGAGTTTTTACATTTTCTATACATGAAAAGGCACTCAGAGAAAGGGATTATGATTGCTGCAGCAATTTGACGAGGATTTGGATAAGTTGAGTACACTTCCATCACTGATTGGTCTGCTTGCGACCGGGCCTATACCTCTGTCAGTACTATTCTTCCAGGCTTATCCCTGAGCTTTGATAAGCTGTTTGTGCCAAATCGCAATTGGGAATCAAACAATGTCCATCACCAGAATTGATGGCGAAAGTTATCTGTAAAATAGAGGAACATTAAAAAAAACTGTTGAAAATATTGAAACACAACTTTGTCCCGGATCCAATTTTATAGGTTTTTTTTATGGAGCACCCCGACGAAAAACAAGCAGAATATTCCACGGGGATAGCCAAGTACTTGTTTCAACGGACCATCCCACAATAAAAACAAAAAAAAGGAGAGGAACATGTGTACAGACTTTGGTATCTTCGACAAAATCCATGCAGCATATATTTGTGAACTGCCCTTTCAACCCTTTATGCCAGACGATATTAGATAAACTACGGAGAATAAACAGCCGATTAATTTGAATGGGTTCACGACAGATTGACGATATTTTGTTTTAGAGCACATTATGTGAGTGCCAATACAGGCGTTCTTCGTTCCAGTTATGGATTGGCCTATACGTGAACGAACAATTTCCCATCATGGTCTCCTACTGAATGATAAGGAAATGAAATGAAACTGTATGATTTTAAAGTTTATGCACACATATCCATGCACACGAACGGAACTTCTGTAGTAGAAATGGAAAAACATTGCGCAACTTGCGTCGGTCGAGCAGTGCAGAATTGTCCGGTCAAAGTTCATTGACATTCTATCGATGAAATCAATAAATGCACAGTCATAGCGCACTGTGCTCAATAGAAAACGCGATCAATCAGAAGTGTACAGGCAGCATAGAGCACTGCATAAATCCAATGCATTCAAAATGGTGTACTCTTCCATCCTCTACAGCTTCCTGGACTTGCGGACGGTTCTCGTAGCTGTCACGGTCTTCCTCGTTCTCTCGTGGTGGCTCCGGAGGCCCCGTAACCTTCCCCCCGGACCCTGGGGATGGCCGCTCATTGGCAGCCTGCCCACCATGGCCCTGGCGCCTGGAGAACCCCATGAAGTCTTCCTACGGATGTCCAAGAGGTATGGTCCGATCTTCACGCTGGACATCCTGGGCCAGAGACTTGTCTTGGTGCACGGGTATGAGGCGATTCGGGAGGCGTTCCAACACCCGAGTCTGAGCGACAGGCCCGAGCTACACTCAGTCAAGGAAATGTTGAATGGCTCCGAAGGTAGGACGAATACACTCCATGGAATATACTTAAGATGACGTAAGGTTTCATTTTTGAGGTTCATACGTATAGGATCGCAAAGAAAGATCCGAGTTTGGGGGAACGAGCCGACTGTTTAGAATCACAGGGCCCTACGTTTGAAATTTGAAAACGTTTCAAAATATATTTCAAAAGTACATCATCATGACATACAAACTCTATCGAATCCTGTAGATTCAGAATCGAGCAAGGCAATGAATTGTCATCATAGTTGAAACTGAAATTACATTGTGTAGATCATTGTCTCTCAAACCATAGAGCAAGGAATTATGGCTGTAGTGTATATACAAGTAACTAACTAACTTATGAATGGTCTGTTTGGTTAAGGGCTCACAGGACTGTTGTCAGTTCTATTATGTGCCTATATGAATCGATTGCTCGCTTTTGAAGGTCATGCGATTTACGTGGGATGATTATTATATTAAATCAAGCAAGACATTCGCGCGATAGGGTCATCGCTCGTGTCCCAATGAACATATGTGTACTGAGTACAGCGCCAACTTGTAAAGGGCAGTCCACCGTTTGTATATCAATGGTCCCAGAACGAAAACCCTTGTTTGTTTACACTGTACGAGGGAACAGGCTTTGCCTCCGTATCCATTGCTCATTAGGGATAAAATCTGTTGTAACAACATCACTGTAATAACTGAGACCACAATAACGATTGATGAATAAATTACTAGTTTTCTTCTATAACTCAGTTATATAGAGATTGACTGGAAACACTCGAAACATTTTACCAGAGACAAAACGTTTAGCAAACAGATTTTTTATCTAAATATTTTGTCAATACACACGGCGCATTCTAATCGCTAGAGTGCCATGTTAATTCCCTGAGGATCCTTTACTGTTAACAGGAGCGTTTTATATGGAACACGTTGCCAGTTTTAGATGGTCCCCTCAATTCTTTCCACTGACCTTCCAGCATATCTCTCCCTTCGTTAATCATCCAGGAGTTGCCGCTGCGTCTGGTGAAATCTGGAAGGAGCAGCGCAAACTCTCCCTGAACGTCTTCAAGGACTTCGGCGTGGGCAAGTCCAGCTTCGAAGACCAGATCGCCACCGAGGCCGGCCACCTGATGCAGGAGATCCACAAGTTTGGAGGGAAGGCCTTCAACCCAGGTACACTCTTCATGACGGCCGTGTCTGACATCATCGCTGTTGTCGTCTTTGGGAAGCGGTTCGAGTACGACGATCCAGAGTTTCAGCGTGTTTTGGCCTCCATCCGCCGCAACTTGGACCTCATCGGCGCTGGGGCTGCCATGCAGTTTCTCCCCGTCACCAAGTACCTTGGCTTCCTCCCGAGCATGAGAGAGATGCGACAGAACATCATCCTGGTCGTCAACTTCACCAAAGAGATCATTAAGAGGCACTTGGAGGAGTTCGATCCCGACGACAAGCGAGACTTCATGGACATGTACATCGGCGAGATGAAGGAGAAGGAGAGACAGAACGTGGACACGATCCTGAGTCTTGACAACCTAGTCAGTGTCATCAATGATCTCTTCGTAGCCGGAACTGACACCACTGCCACCACCCTCCGATGGGGGCTGCTGTACATGGTCCTGAATCCGGACATCCAGCAGCGGGTCCAGCAAGAGATCGATGCGGTCGTAGGCCGCAATCGCCTGCCGAGGATGTCCCACCGCTCGGAGCTGCCGTACACAGAAGCCGTAATCCTAGAGATGCAGCGTATCGGCAACATCGTCCCCCTCGGTGTCCCGCACAGAGCTTCTGAAGATACCTCTTTAATGGGGTACACCATCCCGAAGGACACCTTCGTCATTGCCAATCACTGGGCACTCAATCTCGACCCGAAGCTCTTCCCCGAGCCGCACAGGTTCAACCCGGAGAGGTTCCTGAATTCTGCTGGGGAGGTAGTTAAACCAGAGGAACTGATTCCATTCAGCACTGGTAAGTAACCACTAAACAGTCGGATTTTGAGCTCAAGTAACTTCACAGAAATTATCAAACCACAAAGGAAAATTCACTAGAACTGTTTTGAAAGCTGGCAGCAAACACTTTCCAAGCTTTACCTTTTGTTTGCCTTTTTACATTTCTTCCCTTGATTAAATTGGATTAATGGCGATACCTTGTTGTAATGATGCAAGGTTCTCCAGACGTGCCCAGATACTGCAGCTTAATCGGAGCCTCAAGAAACCAAAAAAGAGAAAAAAACAAAGAGGAAAAAGAGGAAAACTTGGGGACGATATTCCCGAGGATTCCCTGGGGATTAGGCGGGGATTTGAAAACCAAATCCAGTTGCCTGTCTGGATGGGACTGAAATCTGGATGCTGAGGTGAGAGACTGAGAAAGTATATCTCTACCACCAACCTAACTTTACTCTTTGACCTTTCCATAGGGCGCCGTGTGTGTCTGGGGGAGCAACTCGCCAAGATGGAGCTGTTTATCTTCTTCACCTACCTGCTGCACCAGTTCACCTTCAAGAAGCCCGAAGGATCACCACCACTCAGTCTCAAGGGTATCCTAGGAATCACCTTGGCGCCTGCACCTTATGAGGTGTGCGCCGTTCCTCGTTAAGTTATATCTGTCAAATTAAAACGATCAATATTGTGCTGATGAAGACGGAACGTTTAAGTTTGTTTGCTACTGGAATTCATATTAAACTTTGCTTTTTAAAATAGTTCAATGACATAATAAACTTTTTATGACAAAAATATGCATAAACTGAAGGCAAATAATGTCTTCAAGCTGAGCAAAAAAGGCGAGAATTTATGAAAACACAGGATTTCATCAAAGTAAAAAAAACATAACTTGGCTATAGCTTGTAAAATGCAGATTATTGGTTTGTGAAAAAAACTGTTTGAGAACACTGCATTACAAGTTACAAATTGACGCCTAAATTAATGTTAGAAATTATTGATCTTACTGTTGATCAATCGATGATGTGCATTTTCTTTTGTAGGCTAAGCGACAAAAATAAATCCTCCCGAGCTTACGAAGTCTGTCTTTTGGTACCAAGACGTCCATACGAAACGACAACGTGCAATCGCCAAGATTTGCACGCATTAGATGAGGAGATGATTTTATCATGAATGAAACTTGGCGCCATTTTGACCATGAGTCCATTTTGACGCTAGAAAAATTTATTTCAATTCTTCATTATTTCTATAAAATGATGTCAAGATTTCGAATGTTTGTTCTTCGGTGGCTGTGACTGTTATAACATTCTGTTAGCTATCATGTACAATCAACGTTCGATTGCAAAATGTCCACACTAAAAACTAAAAAAGAATTTAATACGGTTTTTCAAGTAAGACATCGTATAAGCAATAATTGCAATCAGTATCATGAACGGAAATAAATTATTTGTGGAAAGAATGCAAAATCGTTGCACTGGTTTTCGCCAGTGTCTTGATTATAAAGTTAATTTCCGATTTGGCGATCGTGTACAAAACATATGAGAGGTCCTAAAAACTTCAGCAAAAACAAAAGAAGGACACTAGAGGGTCCTCGATTGCAGGCAAATACACACTTGTGTGAGTTGTTTGTGGGACCAATAGTCGAGTTACTATCCAACAAAAAAAGCTCTGCGAAGTTAAGTTATTTACTCGAGGGTCTTGATTCTGCAACACTTTTAAAATGGTGATTCCATGAACTTACCCAAGGAAATAAATTAGTTGTGGAAATATTGCAAACTCTTGCACTAGTTTTCGTGAGTGTCTTGATAATAAATGTACATTTCCTTGTGAGTTGAACACCAGGTGAAGTTACTATCTCTAAAAAATATTCTAAAAAGTAAAGATATTACTGGAGGGTAATCACTCTGCACAATTTCTCACAGGGTACTACCAAGAACTCGCCCTAGTTTTAATTTCCACCATGCAAAGCCTCAAGTCAAAAAAGCGCTTAATTTGGAGCAAAACAATTGGATTCAGAGAAAGTCAACAGCTATAAGTCTCCCTGCAGACGTCCAGCGAGCAGATTTGACGCGTCTAATCAGTGCATGCTCAGAGCATTGCTCGACATTGTCTGTATAATTGGGTTTGTATCACCATAGCAGAAGAAAGTCATCTATTGAATCTTTGCCCACCGCCCGGGAGCGTCCGTCAGAAGAGCTAGGGAAGTTATTCGCGAGGGGGAAAGTAGACACCAACGGCTTCACTCACTCTGAGCCTCGCTAGAAGCTGTACTCTTAATAGCTACTTATACTCTGCCTTCCCATCGCAGTGACTAGATCCTCCGTGCTCTAGTGACTCTCCCTCGGGGGAAGAAATCGCTCGAATCCCCCTTTGGAGGGACACGAGCTGGCGCCGTCCACCTGTACGCCGTGCCCGGAAACAAAAGACGCCAACCGATACACCTGTTTTTTTGATGGCATCCTGGAGAAGATGTGCAGGGATTCGTATTTAATCTGGCTCCGGATGGTGTGGCCACTCATCGGGTAGATTTCACCCGGAGGGATGGTCGGGTAGGGTTACAGGTTATCCTCGTAGGAGCTCCGGTAGCCTACACGATTGAACAAAACGCTGTCTGGAAGTGAATCTGCATTAGACGAAGATACAAGTGTTTAATCAGCAAAGTGAGGTGCGGATGTAAAACGTTTGTAAGATGTCGACTCGGCACACGGGAATTTCTTGAAAGTATGTGCTGCGGTGACATTCAAACCATGACTTTGTTCGCATTGAGACTGCTTGTTTGACGTTTGACAGAAGCCTTTACGATCGATGTCAAACCTTAAAACATGGCAACATTCAATGGTATTTTTAAGCAGTAATATCAACTTTTTCCCCCTAGGTAGGAGTTTGTGTGCTAATTGTTTCGTCACTCATGTTTAAAGATCCATATTTTAACATCTTTAGGCCTAAGTTGCATTTTTGAAATATGCTCACCAAGTAGGTGAAAATTTCTGTCAAAAAATGGTTTCCTTCTTTTTGCACCACCCTGTACATATTTACAGTCAAAAGTGCGCGAACTAGTTTTTACCGATGATTTTCACATTGAACATTTTCCTAGCGCTCACCGCGGAACATCTGTATTGACCCGCCGCAAGCACAGCGCAAATTACGGCTGTTAAACCTGCGCTTAGGTCGGTGACTTGATAGGCGTACAACAAAAATCTGGGACAGGTCCAAAGGGACCGAGTGCCTTCGTCACCCAAAAAAATATTGATCCAAAGTTCCAGATTAACCGCTGCCTTTTTTTGTCTTTCTTTAAAGTTGAGATGCAATGTGTGTTATTCACGGTCATCTATAGAAGAACCCTTTGAGACGGTTTGGTTGCTTGTGTTTAACCCTTGGGCGGCCACTGCGGCCATAAAGGGTCCTTCTGTTTGTAAGCAACACATGAACATTTACGGTGTTGGGAAATAGGTAGTCAACTTCCACAAATGATGAGTGTGTTAACCGCGACTTCAACTGAGCTGGTTAAAGGTAAACTGAGGAAAAGAGAACTGGAACGAATACTGAATACTGACTGACTACATTAATGATTGAATGAATGAATGAATTGAATTGAAGAACTATTCATGTAGCAGTACCACAACGACAAATGTTAAAAAGCTCAAAAAGTAACGTTGATAATTAAAGAGTTATAATTTACTAAAATTTAAGGCGAATTGATAATTAAGAACTGGTTATTTAAAAACGCTACAAAGGTATTAAAATGCGGTTTACGCATATACCACTCGCTAATAAAAGTTACAAGTTTGTTGGTTGCTTTGTACAATATTCAATCTACCAAAAAAGTCACAAATTGTGCGTTAGAAAATAACTACTTTGGGAATGCAGCTCTGTGTACTAAATCCTGCAGTCATCCGATCAAAAGGGGAAATATTTCAATGAGTAAAATTCAAGAATTCAACTTAGTAGCCATGTGAGATATAGATGTGCCAAACAATTATACTGTCGACCTTTAATATAAGGAGGCGATCGTGCAATCTTTCTATTTTTTAAGCTGCGCAAATTCAATTTCAACTTCAAAATTCTTTGCCCGGTCGAATCAATCACTTGTAATTCCTCCTTTCACTAAATCTCGGGCAACTGTTGCAAGTCGTCGTTGCACGAAATTAGGTTTCGCGGAAGTAAATTTTGCCCGCCGTCCAAAAACATCAATAAAGCGCGAGTCTCTCCCCCGGCCCCCGGCCTAGTTCCCTGCAGAAACAAAAGGTGAAGGTACCCTAAGCTTTCGTTTAAGAATATGAAAACTGCGAGAGGCTGCATTTTCCCAAATAAAGGAAACTGTGTTGCAAGGCGATCGATCCTGCATTTTATATTAAGGCTTGAATTCCTCCAGTCACCTCTTTATCAAATTTTGGCACGGGCAGACAGAAGTCAAGGGGGAGATGACAGTTTGTGGCGCAGAGTATGAGAGATTATGTTCAGATACTGCCCCAGATATTGAAGCTTGTTTTATCTTGGGGAGTGTGGCTTAGTGGTTAGGGTTCGTGACTCTAACCCTAACCCTATAAAACTAACCCGAATATTAGGGGCATCGGAACATAGGGGTGTCGGACATAGAGCAGTCACCAAGTCATCAACTTGACAATGCTCACAGCCAGCCAAAGTGCATCTGCCTTAAATACAAAAAGACAAATACAGAATGACCATAAAAGTCGACTTTATAAACAAAGTAAAACAACTAAACTTTTACCAATCGCGAAGAGAAAGTTAAGAACCACAAAAAAGCTATATAGGAGTGGAATCACCGCAGTCCCAGGTGAGTTCACTTCGGCTCTGCGAACCAATTAGGCGGCTGACGGAAAAGGCTTCGCGGGTAAACCTGTTGGATTGTTTTATTTATTTCTAATTTACCACAGACGCTTTTAGCGAGCCATTCTCACCCGGCCATGTACTCAAGACGTCGTCCGGCATCACCCGATACAGCTTGACTTGATTTAGAATGTCCCGCAATGACTGATCGGGGGGCCGGTTCAATCCAAGCGACTCTGTCAGCACACCGACCGGTTCCACACAAAAACGAAGTCCCGTCCGTTGAGCCCGGCAATAACTTGACCACAAAGTAAGGGAGATTTTTTAATAACTGCCGCGGTGCACCGGCGGAGATTGACTCCTTGTGCCGTTTATCAATCATCCTCCCTATGACCGGTAATCCGCTGGAGTTTATTCGGATATAAATGCTGAGAGAACGAGGTAGACTCATCGTGGTCGTTGCACTCCAATGAGAAGTTGGAGTCAATTTGTGTACTTTTTTGGGCAAATAATCATTGCATGGGGATAGTGTAAAACTAGGGAGGTTACAGCATGTGGAAGAATCTCTTTTGAGAAGATGTGTGGTTCTGAAAAGAACCGGTTGTTTGTGAAACTCAGAACCACGCATGTCTTCTCAAAAGATATCCTTTCACATGGTGTTGCCGCAAACCCTCACTAGTTAAATAGTCATTGCTTATACGCCCACAACTGCACACTGACTGGTAGTAGGCCTACAAGTTCTAGGCAAAACGAAAGAACGACGAAGTACGAAAATGGATGCACCAGATGTCTAGCCAGAAGACACGATGAAATAATGCACTCAGCTTTAGAAAGAGAAGAGACTGCACAGATTGGTTGATGCCATGCGGGAATATGGCGGCACTTCGCTAGAGTAGAGAGCACAAGATAGACAGAGGGCTTTCCTTCTGCGGAAGATTGATTTTGATAGATCGACAGAGAACGTGACCGAAATACGGCAAGCTCCAGTGGCACACGTGGAAGCAAAGAACACAGTTAACAGAGAGACAGAAGACTAAAGATATCCTCCTCCGTGGTGTGATAAAGGCAAGACGGGCAGACACAGACAGCTAAACAGACATCCGTCTGACATATAAACCGACAGCCAAAGGACAGCCCAGCCCGACAAGCCACCCGACAGACAGTTGTCAAAAACTTGAACAGGCAGATAAAGAATGTCAGCTGTTGTTGCATGGATTACCACGGCAAATTCAAACATTTTGGTGTCCATTCCATCTTGCAAAATGGACACAGTTCACAATGTAACAAACAACTGAATCTGCCTGACCTTGACCCTTTTGACTGACCCTAAAGGCAATGACGTCACACAACCCAATCACGAGGTAACCTCACCGACCTTTAATTGCCTGGAAGTCACGTACTCCTCATTGTCTCATGATGTCGCTTTTAAAATAAGATTGCACGAAGGAAGGAAAAATATGTTTGCTGCCACCATGAGTCACAAAGGCAGCCATTTTCGTTTGTTAGGTCAAAGAAACTTTAGATTCGCAGTTTGTAAAAACGGACGACGCTGTTTACATGATACACGGGCCTTTTCCAAACCCAGTTTTTAAAATTACCCTAACCAGAGTTATTGGGTGAAAGATTCTGTGAAACTGTTGTCCGTTTACCTTAACCAATGACCAGTCTGTT